AGCAAAAAAGCATATAAATATTTTAGGGTAAAGTATACTATAAGTCATCGAACTATATAATATTGCTTTTCTGGTGAGTGATCTTTCAAATATTAAAAATTAGTTATTAAATTTCTCAAACAATTATAAAATGATCATTCAAATTTATCAAATTATTATAAAATATGTTAAATTTATTAAAATATTATAAAATAGTCCTTAAACTTATTGAAATTTATTATTATTTTAATATTGCAACGGATCATTTTATAATTGTTTAGAATATTTAATAACTATTTTATAATATTTTAAAGTTATTTACCAAAAAATATGCTTACGTAGTTTGATGACCTCTAATGTACTTCACCTAATATTTTAATCGATATAGTTAACTGGTTAACACATTGGACTAACTAATGATATTATCAAAGAATAGGCATTAAATCCGGAATTAAACTATGGTAGAGGGACCAAAATTAAAGTTTGACCCCAAAAGGAGTTAAATAGCACCAGAGAGAGAAAGCAAATCCAACATTCATTTCCCAGTCCCACGGTCTTCCATGATTCCACTGATACTTTCCACACTCTCAATATTGAAATGAAAATTTCTCTTAGAAACCAGAACGGATTCTCGTAATTTGAATTGATTGGTGTTTTTGAGTACTTAGAAATCGTTTCTTGTTTGCTAGAGAGATGGTTTCGTTGGAAGATTCTAACTCGAATTCGAACCGGTTTCCTCTGGGTAGAAACTTGTACACTCCCGGTTCACCTTCCACCACCAGAATCCACCGACACGCCGGCCGTTCCATGCGTACGGTTCGCTCCAATTTCTACCAAAGCGCCGATAACAGCAGCTGCTCTTTCACCAGTGCGGTTCCCGAACGGTCTGGTTTTGTCTCCGAGAACCTCACCGAATCGGTTATCGACATGCGGCTCGGCGAACTGGTTGCCAAAGCTAAATCGGTTAAGTCCGAGTCAGAAAACGAGGAGTTTTTGGACATTTCTCAGGCCTTCAGTTATTTCTCCGCTTGTAGCAGCGATATCTCCGGTGAGTTGCAGAGGCTTGCGAGCTTGCGGTCGCCGGAAAACATCTTGAAAGAGAACAACGGTGGAGCCGAAGTCGAGCCGGAACCGGAACCGTGTCATGGGTTTGTGCAGAGAGAGAACTTCTCGACGGAAATTATCGAGAGTATATCGCCGGAGGATCTTCAACCGACGGTCAAAATCTGCATCGACGGCTTACAATCACTGTCCATTGCGGTGAAGCGGTCGGCTGCTGCAAAGCTAAGGTTACTAGCGAAGAACCGCGTGGATAACCGTGCGTTAATCGGAGAATCCGGCGCTATCCCTGCTCTGATTCCGCTCCTACGAAACAGCGATCCTTGGACTCAAGAGCACGCCGTGACTGCGTTGCTGAATCTGTCTCTTTTCGAAGCGAACAAAACCCTAATCATAAATGCCGGAGCTATAAAATCATTAGTGTATGTTCTCAAGACAGGCACCGAAACTTCAAAGCAAAACGCGGCGTGCGCGCTTCTGAGCTTAGCTTTGGTTGACGAAAACAAGACTTCAATCGGAGCATGCGGTGCGATCCCGCCGCTGGTATCTCTTCTGATGACCGGATCCAACAGAGGCAAGAAAGATGCACTGACAACTCTTTATAAGCTATGTTCAGCCAGGCAGAACAAAGAGAGGGCTGTGAGTGCTGGTGCAGTTAAGCCTTTGGTGGGGATGGTGGGTGAGCAAGGGACTGGCATGTCGGAGAAGGCAATGGTTGTTCTCAGTAGCTTGGCGGGAATTAAGGAAGGAAGAGAAGCTATTGTGGAGGAAGCTGGGATTACAGCACTTGTGGAGGTGATCGAAGATGGTTCCGTCAAGGGGAAGGAGTTCGCGGTGTTGACACTGTTGCAGTTGTGTGCTGATAACGTTAGGAATCGTGGTTTGCTTGTTAGGGAAGGTGCGATACCCCCTCTTGTGGCTCTTTCTCAGACTGGGAGTGTCAGGGCTAAGCTTAAGGTAATTGCAGTTGAATGCTTCATAAATTACTAGATAGTTTAAGCTTGAGACTTTGTTTCTCTAATGCCAATGCAGTTTACAGTTTATTAAATTGCTTGATTGGTTAAGTAGTTTAGCTTGGATGATCAGAACCGTGCATTTCTTAGAGTAGATGAGTATTGTAGTGCATCCATGCATGATGTATATGTTTAAATATTCGATAATGCCTGCTTCTCATCAAGAACTGACATGTTCGTTACATCCTAATTTTGCAGGCGGAAACACTTCTTGGGTATCTAAGAGAACCAAGGCAAGATGCATCATCATCTAGTCCTTAGAGAAGGGAAGTTTAATTGCTAGGTAATCATACCTTGGTAAAAAAATCTTTTCTTCTTCTTGTATATAGGGATTGCTTTGATGGTTTGTACAGTGTGGTTGAGAACTGATCGTGCAGGTAAAAAAAGAAGCAAAAAATTAGGGGAGGCACAAGTGACTGACATTTAGATGTATGATTTTGAGTAGGTTTTGGGGTTGTTTCCCCTCTTGTTTACATGTTCTAGAGGGTGGAATACTTGCTAGGCATGTGGGTTTCAGATTAATTAGATTTGGGTTATTCTCCTTGTGTTTTGTTTAGGCGATCAAAATTCTATTTGCATAGTCTGTATCGACCTATTACTAGTTGTCGGTTTTCTACATAGTGAAAATGGACAGTCTTGTCGATGATACGCTCTGAAATCTTGTAGCTTCAACTTTAAGCGATTGAAATAACAGTTAGGGGTTAGGCTTCGGGTGAAAGCTATCACATATCATGCACCATTTTCTTTTTATACATTTTCATGATAATCGCTGTGCTGTGCTATTTATGCTCTTGCTGGATATTCGAGCAATGTATAGGTGCCCGGTCTTTCTCTTTGTTTCCCTTAAGTTTTCCAAGATGGGAATGGGGGAATTATGAGATATGCATTATTGTTGGAAGCATTGAATATAGAGCTTAAGGTGGATGGATATGGTGGCCATGGGTAGGGCCCTGGATGTGCACATATTTGGTGTAAAGTAGTTAATATGGTAATGTGCCATCATCACCCTTTTGTCCATCCTACTTGCATATACATTTAGCAATGCCCGCCAACAGGTTCAAACCCTACCACATATTTATGTGTGTAGATTATCATAACTTTGCCTCTCTCTCTTCTTTTCTTCTTTCTTTATGTCGTTATTACTCCTGCATTAGCTGGCAGAGCAGAAGCTTGATTTGTCCTACTATTGCTATCTCCATGTTGAAAATCTATGAGTTCAGTTTATGGAATTGTTCTCTTGTGTTGCTATTTCAATTTTCCAATGATGGCCAAAATTTAACTTTTAATGGCACGAAAATATCTATGATGATTAGGGCTGGAAAGGAGTTGAGACAGGTCGTGAACTATTCGAGATCGATTTGGTCAAAGTTTGATAAATACTCGATTCAAATGGACCTAACACGAGCTCAAGCTCGACTTGAATTGTGAACGACTTAAAATGAGTTACTTGATATTTGATTCGAAAAGTTCGCGAGTAATTCTAAATATAGTATATTAAGATTTTATTTTTTTAAATATAAATTATTAATAATATTAATATTTATTCGTTTTTTCTTTTAAAATGTAGTATATATATTTAAGGTTCATGTTTGAGTTTGAATTTTAGGCTTCAATCGAGTTTTAGTTTAAGATTTTTTTTCATTTCGAGTTTTTTTAAAGCTTTTACGAATTTCTATTTATGATTTTGAATTCGAGTCGAATTTGAAAATTTTAGATTCGCGAGTTTTTGAGTCGAATTGGATTTTAATTTAAAATCTCGGCTTGTTTACATCCACGACGATGATGTTCATAATTAACTAAGAAGTGAAAGGAAAAGTTGGAAGAAATAACCCCTTAGGAAGGATACAGCGTATAATTTTATGAAAGGACAATTCCAATTTATGTACTTATGTGTGGCCCTTATGCTGTGGATCAAATTGTGACAACAATACAAGTGAGCAGCCGAGCAAGCCCAAGTCCCCCCACAAAGCTATAGCATGATTAGCATCAAAGGGCAGGTGGTTGGGGTTAAATATTCGATCGGATTGAGTAAAATTCAAATTGAATTTGATTAATTTTTTAAAAAAATCTAATTGAATTTTGTTCATTCAAATTGTGTTTAATTATTTTTCTAAATTCTAATTGAATTTTGTTCATTGTTATACGAAGTAATATCTGATCAAACTGTCGGCAGCCTATGGACCAAGTGTATTACCATGCATGCCTTCCTTTCATTGTGAGAACAAAATTGTGACCATCTATTCTATTTATTTACCCCGATGCCGTCACCAAATCAAACAATATCAATGTTGTCTTGTACTGTCGGCAGCCGGCACATTCTTAAAACTTGCATTTAACCGCATGCAAGCGGCCAAGCCTTTTTCATCTCAGCCTGCTTCAGCAGCTGAAGTTCGCCTGAGGCGATGGTCCTGCTTCTGCAACACTGCAGGCACCACACCCAACTACAAACACGAATGGTCCGGGTGGAAGTAATAATTATCTTTTGAAAATTCACTTTTTTATATAACTTAAATATTTTTTTTATATTTTTTTTATGTACAACTCCCATAACCATTTGAAACCAGTTCTCTGTGAAGATATAGATATATATATATATATATATATATATATATATATATATTGGCATGTGACATTATATACAAAACGATGTAGGCTTTAACTTGTATCCTTGGCTGCAATATTCTTTCTTTTTAAAAGATGGGTTATATTCACTGGATGTATATTAGTTTAATCTAAAAGGTTACTTTTTAATTAATGAATATGATATTTTACTCATACTAAAAATAGAGGGACCACAGTGCACTTTGTGCTATAATACAGAGACCTGCGCAGTACTTTTACCAATAAATACATGTTTAGTGAGGTTCATAGCAGGCCCAAAAGAATAGCCCAGGAAATTAACAGGGAGGCTAAACCAGAGTAAATGCAAATCTGGGGTTGTCTCCTACTCTCTTTGCTTTGCTCCTGCTCCCTCACCACCTCCCTTGGAAGAGCCTAAACCTTTAAAGATAAATCCTTTGAATTTGTTTCTTTAAACTATTGACATTATCATTTGATCAGATCCATTATTAACCCTTTTATTTGATCGCAATATCTGACAGAAACAAAAGAAAAAGAGCGGTGCAGGGAGCCTTCTGAATTTGTTTTTCTTATATAGTCGGTGAGACCAATGACACACGATCTCTTTCTCTCTAGATTTTTAGACCCTTTGTTCTGTATTTATTGTTTGATGATTTAATGAATTTGATTTTCGAATTGGGTTTCTGTTTATGGATCATTTCTCAATCACTTTTTTGTTTTTGTGTGCTCCTCTAAGGTTTTGATGATATCCAGATCGAATTTTTTGGGTTATATGTTGTTTAATTCATTTGGATATTCAAGACTTAGTTATAATGGTTTCGGCGCTCTAGCTGTTCGATATGTGAACTTGGTTTCTACTCTTTTGAGTCAATTACAAAATATAAAATTTAAATGGCAGTTTGCTTGGTGATTTAAGTTTCTAATGGCGTCTCGTTGATGCGAAACTAGAGTCAAGATGTGCTGTGATTTGATCTCACTTTATGATCAAGAGCATATTTTGTTGAAATTGATGGAGTAGCAATGTACTTGATATTAGATCTTCAGTTGACACCGGTCTCGGATTCAATCTTTCGACGATCCCTACTCCCTTTCCCTTGTCCAATAAAAGGAAATTGATTTACTTAGGTCTACAGTTTATTTCCAGGTCAAAGTTCACTAGTTCTTGCAATCAGAGTTTCAGTGGTGAATTTTTATGAGCTGTTTACATTGCAGTAAAAGTTTTTCAATCTCTAATTTTAACCCTTTAAAAGACTCTCCTATAAAAAAATATAACATATGTATATGTAACCCTTTAAAGACTTGAGTTTTCAGCATCTGTATAATTAAGAAAAAGAATAAGACAAAACCCCCCCTTTTTAAAGATCTCTCACATTTAGAAGTGAAAGTACAAGGCTTTGTTTATATCTGAAGTTCTATGTTCCGTCGTGGTCCAGCGGTAATGTCCAAGAGCAACCCTACTGAAACATCATATGTTTATCTTGTAAGGTTTAGTGCATAGTTGATGCATATTGTCATACATTCAAGCATCTTACATTGCAGTTGCAGATGATTTGATACTCATGAGAGACCTCAAACAATCTTATCGTTTCTTGGTTTCACATTCTCGTCTGTAGTTTTTGTTATCCAATGTGACTTGTTATCTGTTTTCTTTTAATGTGTATACAAAAACAATGTGATGTTTTACTAGTTAAGGGAAAGAGTGGGATATAGGATTAGGAATCTTAGGTGTGCTATAAACGTGTCACGGTTGTTAGGTGAGATGTTTTTCTTTCCAATCTATTAGTTGCACGTTTCGCTCAAATGATCTGACAATTATCATATGTTCTTGTTTTGAGCTTCAAAAGTCTAAGCAGTAGAAGGAGATTAACATGGATTTCAGGTGTCAGGCAAGGTGTAAGCAAGTTCAAAGGAGAGATCAAGGTACTGTTTCTTGCCTTCTAATGAACATCACTTGTTTCACTTAATCATTCAACTATTTACGTTCAAGTTCTGACAAAAGTTTTATTTAACTCGAATATTTTAGTCGGACACGATCCACTAACAATTACTACATTGGTTGATTATACACAAGGATCGTCTTTTTATACTAGTCATCTGTATCGGTTGCAGCATTTGCCAATGGTTTTAGTGTTTCTCTCTATTTTGAGTTGTTACTGTAGGAAGCTTAACTTATAACTCGCGTAGATTCGCCTATTTTGCAGGATGGTGAGAGTGGAGTAGAATTTATTTGTTTTTTTATTCAATTGACCCAATATAAACTTAACAAGAAAGGTATTTTCTCAGGTCTTTATTCCTACTTTAGCTTCCTTCTCCAGCTTATAGCTTCCTTTTCCAGCTTACCTTCGTTTTTTTCTTGCCTAAACAGCTAAACCCATTTCTGTTCTTGAACAGGATATATAAGGTTGGTGGTTCTTAGGCGATAACTCGAGTCCACCCCTGAGAAGAAACTGAATGCCGAGAGCTTTTCGTTGTTGATATGATTGTATAGAGTGACACTCCTTGGTGAAGATTAGAAAATGGCTTTTGTTTTGGAGGATGAGAAAACTGAGGATTACCTTTTCAAGATTGTACTGGTTGGTGATTCAGCTGTTGGGAAATCGAATTTACTTGCAAGATTTGCTAGGAATGAATTCTACCCTAATTCGAAGTCAACCATAGGAGTAGAGTTTCAGACCCAGAAGCTGGATATAAATGGGAAGGAAGTTAAGGCACAGGTCTGGGATACGGCCGGTCAAGAGCGCTTCAGGGCCGTTACATCTGCATATTACCGAGGTGCGGTTGAAGCTCTTCTTGTGTACGACATTAGCAGATGGCAGACTTTTGATAGCATCGGCAGATGGCTAAATGAACTTCAAAGTAAGAACCATGCTAAACTCATGCTTTTGTTGATTATATTATGGATATGTTGTTCTTGGCCGATGATGGCTAAGGATTGATTTGTGTGCTTTGTCATATCGAACAGCTCACTCTGACATGAATGTAGTCACCATTTTAGTAGCCAACAAGTCGGACCTCAAGGACGCCCGGGAAGTACCCACATCCGAAGGAAAGGCCTTGGCAGAGGCGCAGGGTTTATTTTTCATGGAGACTTCTGCACTTGATTCCTCCAATGTAGCGGCTGCATTTCAGACCTTCGTTAAAGGGATCTACGACATATTGAGCAGGAAAGTCATGATGTCTAACGAGAGCAAGAAGCAAGACGTGCCGTTGGATGGGAGGACTGTTGTTTTACAGGGGGGAGAGAACCAACAACCTGAAACAGAGGCCAAAGCAGGTGGGTGCTGTTAAATCCATTGCCCCATACCTTTTACGACTCTCCGTCATCATCGAGTTTCCACTGAAGCTGCCGATATTTCTTCTTCTCCGTACCTTCATTTATCGGTGCCGTTAAAATGTTTGATTTAGTAACATTTGTTTTATTTGTTCATGATTCGCTTTATCACACGGTGGTTGCGACTTCTACGGATTACAGAATTAACAAAATGTAAATGAACTCAAGGGGGGATTGAAAGGGGAAGAACAGAAAAAAGAAATGAAATTCAAATGTTATAATTTCCTGCAGAACTTTCACTTTCTGCCTTCATGTTACATAATAAACCATATTTTTGCAGAATATCTTCTTGTTTAGTGCATATCCTTTTATTTTTCAAAGCATGTCACACGATACCGGTTCTAAAAACTCGCCTCCTCTGTAGTTGGACGCCTCAAGAAATATCGTAAACTGTTAGCAAGAACCTGCCGAGGCAAGCGATTAGGACGTATGCCCTACCGTACCTAAATGATTAATACTACGCCTACAATTTAATGTGCAATGTGTTAGTTGCAGTATACCTGCTGCAGGGGCCTGCTGATGGCTTTACCCTTGTAGCTGACGTGAAACTTTGCCTTTGCCAACAACCCCTATGTTTTGAAGGTAGAATTTCGAGAGAAAGATAATATCGTTAGGCTAATGCAAGATGACAACCTACGGAAGAGAAAAGAGTAAACAATCATTTCACCTCAGTGTCGAACTCCCCGGACTCAACCGTGATGTTGACGTCGGAGATGATTTTTACAAGATCCACCAGCAACCCTGGGCGATCAGCGGTCTCCACGTATAGCAAGCTGAACCAAATTTATTTACAAAATTAAATTATATGGAAATGAACCAATACTGCAAGCCGGAACATATCATCCCTTTCGGCTGAATCAGACATGTATGATGCTACCGAGGAGTATTAACTAAACTATCGAAATTACAAGGGCGGTGGTTGCATTTGACCACTGCATTCATTACCTACGATTGGGACCATCATCGTCGACTCTTATGTGTGTTGCAATGTCGACATCAACCTGAGGAATCCCAGCAAAGCAAAACTTAAACCAAGGGCCAAGATTATTAGGTAATATCATTCTCAGCTTATTAATTTATGGACGATTCGTAACGTTTACGATCAGTTGCACCGGTCTTGGTCACAAGCACGACAACTATCCATTTGAATTACAACAAATGTCGACGTAACAGTCTTCTTGGGGCTGCTGTAAAGCTCGTTTCACCTAACATTCAACATAGGAAAATGCAAGAGGAATATACCTTTTCTTTTGGTGGCTCAACACCGAAAGTCGCACCCATTGCTAACTGGGAACTTGATTCCTGGACCACAAAGTAACATGCCAAACAGGGTTTCACTAGGAGATTTCTCATTAGGCATTAGGGAAAAGGAAGAGCTGATTACAGGATGATACTCGAGTAAGTTGTTTATAATCGTCAAACGTATTGCCTCGAGCAGTTCCGGGTCTTCGACTTTCCTTCCCGTAGTACTACAGAAAAGAACCAACACTATATCAGTAATGTCACATTGAAAATAGCTATTGTAACAACAGATATATAGCACTAGGTAATGAATAACCTCTTGCACATCATTCCATTCTCACATTCGAGTTATTTACGAGACGAAGACGAGTTAAAAGGCATACAACTTACGCCTTAGTGATGGCGAACTTATTATGTTTCCCAGATGAATCCAGGTAGACATTTGCTTTAGCAACATTCAACCCAAGATTTCTAAGGGCATTCATCTGCAACTCATTCACTAATAGTTAGATCATGCACAAAAAATTCTTGGTGAAACCCCAAAAATCCATATGAAAAACACATTAAGTAAAGTGATTTATACAGTATCCATAAGAGCTCCAAGACGATCGCCAAAGGTTATTTCAACTACGGTGGCGTCGGGATCCGAGTCTTGGTCGATTATAACTTTGGGGGTTGGAACTGTATCAGTGTCATCATTCTTCAAACACACACAACCATGGATCTTTAGCCAGCTAAAAACATAGTTAAAATTCAACCAAATATATCATTTGTTCTTCCATACCTCCACAGCAGTGGCTGATGGTGTTGCTCTTGGAATGATTCGCACCATTGAAGATGACAACCTAACACTGTAATGATTTAAAAGCGAAGATCTATCAAATTGAAGATACAACAAAACCATTAAACTGCAGCTTTTTTCTCCATAAAACTGATTGATTCCAGTTGGATTTACAAATGCATTGATGTTTTTTCCCCCTTCAAGCAACATGAAATTCATCTCAAAGGATTCCCAAAGAAACAGTTTCAACACCCAGACAAGGAAATATCCGGATAGTAAAACAAAAACATAGAAAAAAAACAAGACCAAAATCCAGAAATGAATTAGATTGAAGAAAGGTACCTTCTTTTCTCAAGAATATTGGCAGAGGCAGCAGGCCAAGAATGGTTTTTAAGTTCAAAGATAGGAAATTTATACTTGTTTTTAGTGTTGGTTCTAAAGTATGCACCATAATTAGCAGCAGAAGCCATAGCCACAGCAGCCATTGAAACAGAAGAGATGAGAAGGAACAAAACTGAAGAGAAATAAACGTGAATGTGATAGAGAAAGAGAACTCCCCATAGTTACAAATTTTGCTCCTTTTTATCTCTTTTATCTTTTTCTTCCCACTTTATTGAATCGGTTACAGATCCTACTCATCCCTGTCTTCTGTCTGCATATAAGCTACAACGTTGAAAGTTAAAACGAAGGGTAAATTCCACCACAAGGTCATTTTATTATGAGTAGTTTTATAATTGGGTCAACTTTATTTTAGACAAATCACAATCAAGTCACTTAATTAAATGATTAACACTTGTATCATTATGTTGTTAAATCTTAAACGGATGTTAACTTTTTTATTTATATTATGGTCACTCAATTATGAGTATGCTTTCATTTTAATCACTTAACTTTCGATTGTGAGTCAATTGTGGTGTTTTTATACTTTAGGGTAGGGGTGTAAACTAGCCGAGTCGAGCTCGAGTATTGCCAAGCTCGACTCGAACTCGAAAACTTTAAATGTAAGCTCGACTCGACTCGAAAACTTGAGAGCCTAAAATTTTCAAGCTCGACTCAAACTCGAAAGATAATAATGAAACTCAACTCGAACTTGAAAAGGCTCGAACTCAAAAAAAATCAAGAGCTTAACTGAAACTCAAGACTCGAGCTCGATTGAAACTCGATTTTTAGCTCGATTCAAGCTCGATTTTGAGCTCGATTTTAAACTCGATTCAAGCTCGAAGACAGATTAATTTTCAATTGTTGAAACCATCCCCCTTTTATACACTCTCTTTACCCCTTATTCTCCCAAAAACCACCGATGTGGGATATGAACTACTTTCAAAACAGCTCAGCAACAACAATGGTCAAGTTTCTGGAACAATGGCTAACAACTTTTGAAACCCATCCCCCTTTTATACGTAATCATCCCTTTCTTTTATTCAGAGATTGAAATCAACTTCAGACGAAACTAATATCTTCTTGCAAAACAAAAATGGCTAACACAAACTCCATTAATACACATTTCTTCCCATTAATTTCAATTGCCTCTGGATTAGATTATTCTACTTTCTGGAACTCAATAACTATAATACACAATCATAATCTTCTTCTTCCTCTTAATCTGACTCGTACGACGTGACGATGCCGTACTTTGTTTTCGCCATAAAGCCACTGCAAAAGCAGAAGACATGGAGTCAAAAATGTGGTCGTCGATGACATTAATGTCGGTTTCCGTTCTTTTGACGAACCGACCTATGATTCTTGGCCTTGATTCGGCGTAGGCCTTTCGGGAAGCGTATCAGATTGTCTTCTCGAATCTTCGATTCTTTCTCTGCTATTTGTACCGTAAAAATCGAGCCTCTCGGTCGAGTCTGCCTACTCGGGAAGCTTGGTTGTTGATTCCGGTAACGTTTGGATCAGTCATGGTTGGAACTGTTCCTACTTCAAGTGACGAAGATGAAACCTGAAAGTTTTATAAAATTTCATCAAATTATAATTTAGTCCCTCTATTATTATTACTTTTGAGATTTAATCATCTACTCTAATTTGATAATCTAATAAATTATGTTGAAATATCTTTTTAATCATCAATTTTTTTAAGTTATAAAATAATCATTAAACAACATAAATAATATTAAAAAAGTTCAAATTATTATAAGATGATCATTAAACTTATTAAACTATTTTAAAATGGTTCTAAAAACCTACCCAATTGTTATAAAAGCAATATTCAAATTTATCAAGAATTATCACTAATTTATAATATTTTAATAAATTTAATAACTATTTTTTAACTATCTAAACTTTCATATCTAAAAGACCCTTCCGACATAGTTTAATGATAATTTGTATAATTTAATCTAATAAATTTAGGTTCAATCGAATGAAATTGCATAAATTTGTTTTAAATGTTCAGGTGTCATTTATGTTATTTTTCATATTATTTTAGCTTAAATCGAATAGGATCAATTGCATATAAGACCCTATAATTTATGCACATTTTGTATTTAAGTCATTGGTTTAATTCCAATTTTGTAAGTTTAATTTTACATTTACGTAAATTTAATCATCATTCTAAAGTTAGTATATTTAGTTTAAATTAGTCCTCACATTTAGATTTCTCTTAATTTAGTCCCTATTTAAGATTGTTTTCTTTAATTAGTTGTGTATATTTATTTTGCATGTTGATATGTTTATGTATAAGTATGCGATTGATTTATTTAGGAGTCGCATAACATCATTTTGCATAATTTGTATGTTACCTTCGTGTGCATAACTTAATCTTTATCACATAATCAATTTTAGGGTTTAAGGTTTAGAGTTTAAGGTTTAAGGTTTATTGCAAAGACATTAATTAATCGACTTGATATTGATTTATGAGGTAAGTATCATTTAGGGTTTATGACTTAGGATTTATAGGTTTGGTTTAAGGCTTAGGGTTCATTGCAAGTACATTAATTAAAATTTGAGGGTAGTTGTATTATAGAATTTTTAATATATTTTTAAAATTTTATAATTATCAATAGTGTATTTTTAATAATGTAATTTTAAAAAATCTAAAATTACAATATAACATTTTTTCGAGCTGCTCACGAGTTTTTCGAGTCGAGTATTGAGTAGCTCGTTTAGGCTCATTAAGAACTCGAGTCAAGCTTGAGCTCGAATCGAGTCCATTCGATTCGAGTACTTATCGAGCCTTGATCGAGTCGATATCGAGTAGCTCGCGATCTGTCTCGTCTCATTTACAACCATACTTTAAGGGTGTTTAGTTCACGGAAAGATTATTAAACCACGTTTGGTTTAATAACATTCCCTCTCAAAGGTAATGAAGTATTCCCAGAGTGACAACTTTTGAGTCTTTTTTTAGAGAATGTCATTCCCTTTTTTTTAATATACAAATTTCTCTCCTAGGACAATAATACTCCTAAAATAATATATTTATTTCAAAATGATCCTTACTTTTATATACAATTACATGATCATTAATTTATTTTATTTACTTTTTAATGGTTTTAATTTTTTAACTTATTGTAAAATAATATGATGCTTCATCATAAAAAGTAAAACAATAATATCAATATTTTATTTTATTATATACGTGTTTGGTTCAAATTTTATTTTTGGTATGCTTTTTATTACGTTTTTTTAGATTATTTTTCATAAAAGATTTTTCATATTATATTTTTATGTTTTCTATTGATTTTTTCAAATAATTTGATATTATATTTCTTTATACAACTCATACATGCAACATGAATAAAATACAATAATGTACCATTTAACATGTAACACCCCCAACCCGTATCCGACCCGGATACGAGTCCGAAGTGTCACATTGACTTTTCAAACATTTATTCGTATAAAATAGTGAGTAATTTAAAAACTTTGATAACATTTAAATTATTTCAAAACGTTTACCACAGATATCAGAGTTCATACCATTTATATCTTTAGACTACATGCCAACTACACTCTGTAAACAGTACATATATTTTCTGATCTGACATTTGGTAAGGAGAACTGACCTGTCTTGCTCCGCATTACTCTTTATTCTTCTCGAAACCTACGTGTGAAACAATCACACGCTAAGTCGTTGACTTAGTGAGGCAATAATTAAACATATAACAATAATTCATGAACGTGCATTCATACCATTGAATCATGACATTTCAATATGCATGTATCTATTGCACGATAACAATATATATAATCATGTCATACACACACGCAACATATCTTCTTGTATTACTTTCACTTTTCGTTTGTCTTCCAATTGCATTGCCCATGTATATTATTATCTTTATCAACATCATTATAATTCAAGCAACACATGACATATCACCATAAGTATATACTTCACATATATCTTATACATTACATTCAATGTTATCTCTTATTAGCCCATGTGCACCTGTGAGAACTGTATATATGTGAGTCTATTGAGGTTGTGCACCACTATGCTGTCACCACAGCTCATATAAATGTCCCGAAGGACCTATCCAGAGGTCACCAAGACCCCGGTAACTGTCCAGAGGTCATAAAGATCCTCGGTAACTGTCCAGAGGTCATAAAGATCCTCGGTAACTGTCCAGAGGTCATAAAGATCCTCGGTAAACTGTCCAGAGGTCATAAAGATCCTCGGTAAACTGTCCAGAGGTCATAAAGATCCTCGGTAAACTGTCCATATGTCTCGAAAGACATAGGTAAACCCTCGACTCTTGGCATGCCAACTATACCTATAGCTCTCGTATCATATAACATGGGCATTATATTCATATCACTTCACATATTCACATGTATATTTCACTTTTCGTATGATTTCATAATCATCTATCACGTAGCTTATAACACTTCTCTTGTGTTCATCTGGCATGTAACTCATTGTCATCTCTTATTCTCATATGATTCTCATACACTAAGTATATCACATAGCACATAGTATAACCTATAAACTTATACAGTTATCCATATACATACTTTCATATACTTCGAATAACAATGCCCTATAACTTCTCACAGTTTTACCTAATCACTTATTTCACATTCATTATATTCTAGTTTCATATATTACTTAATTCCATTTCACATAGCTTGTTACCTATATAAATATTTTCTCATAACTTATCATCACATAGTTCCCATAACATTTTCCTATAGATTCATAAGTCTTTACCATATGACTCATGTAATTTATATCCTTTCTCTTGTTATCATATAAATCATTGCTATTTTACATAATTCACTTACACGTAGAACATTTCCATGTGATTCACATTCACATGTGCATATAATCGCGTAGTTTACTTTCATGTAATACATGTCACTTTTCATATGAATTCATATTCATATATCACATAGCTTATACTTTGTTCTTATGTCTTCTCATAGACATATATTATTTCTCACGTAGTCACATAGATTCATATCATATTACCTATATTATTTCTCATGTATTCATGTAAACATGCATGTCTTATTTTGTTCACATATGTTCATATATACATCATATAATCCCTTCCTAAAGTTCACACTCTAATTTCCCATATGGCATATCACATAAATCACATAGCACATCTAAGCACATATCATTTCATATAATCAAGTATACATACCTTTTCTGTCATTCACATCATTATAATCAATAATCCATACACAACAAATATTGAAAATAGACTTATCACAAGTCCAATTCCTTATAATCCTATAAACTAAAATGCACTCACCTGGCCTCACTAGTCAATATCGATATGTTATCTTCCTTGATCGATCTTACTTGCCAAACGTTTCGGAATTGCTTTATGCGTAGAATCTACATACATGTACATTTTGAGGCAATCATTAGATACCTACACCTTGTAATTGGATACTAGCAACTTAAACGAACTTATTAAACCAATATTCGCATTTTCCTTTAGGGGGGAATCGGTTCCCTCCTGTGGGGGTATCGGTTCCCCTCTGGCATTCTGGAAATGTTGTTCGTTTGAAGGGGTATCGGTTCCCCTTGAATGGGTACCGATTCCCCTTGCCCAGAAATCATATTTTAGCCCGAAAATTACTTCATTTTCTCTCAAACACTTCATATATCATCCCCTTTTCATTCTTAACTCTAGTACACATACTTAAACCAATCTATATTCATTTATTTCATCTTAAACCTCAAAATCCTATCTTCCATATGAGATTCAAGAATCATACCAAATTTTCAATGTGTTCTAATTCCAATTCTATCACTCCAAATCTCTTAATTAGACTGATGACAAGTCAAATTCATCCATAAAACTTCAACAACCATACCATATCAAAATTTCATCTTAAAACTCATATTACAAATTCCTTCTTAATTCCTTTATCTTATTGTTTAAATCCCAAATAAGCTTTCCTTAAGCTTATTTAATACCCAAAGAATCAAAACTAATTTATAAATTCAAGAATTAAGAAGCTGAAATTAAACTCACCTTTATGAAGTAAACCAACGGGAAGAAGAAGGAAGAAGAAAGTAGCTTTCCAGATACTTCCTCACCCATCAGCTTATCTCTTTAAATAAGAGATAATTATCTTTTACATAAAAATACCATAACACCCTTTCAATTCTTCCATAATTACCATTTAATCCACTATCAAAATATTACACTTTAAATCCCTAAACTTTTCAATTTTTCCCTAAATTGATCACCAAATTCTAAAACTTTTCAATTTAATCACTAACCCGGTATTGCGGATGTTACATAACACATACTTACACCAATGTAAGTATGTACATTTCTAAATATTTTGGTACCTAAAAATAAACACATACTTACACCCGTGTAAGTATGTACATCTCTCAAAATTTTGGTACTTAAAAATAATACATAATTATATTGGTGTAAGTATGTTTCTGTATTTTCAAAGAAATAAAAAATTAAAATAATAAAAATATATATATATATATATATTAATTATTTGTGTATAAATTTTATTTATAAATAAATACATTATAAATAATAAAAATTATATTTTCTATGAACTTTTATTTAAATATTTTGACTTTAATATGGAGAATTCAACCGACTAAAAAAGAAAACATATCTCAAAGATAATTTGATAAAACATACATTTTTTCTATCGAGTATTTTTTAACCAAACACTATAATCTTACATTCATACAAAACAAATCAAACAAGGTAATACGACATTCCTAATAATATGGTGAGTAATGTAACATTTCAGTAATCTTACTAGGGGTGCTTATAGAGCGAGTCGATCAATAGTTGGACAATACTTGACTCGTGCTTGTTAAAAAATTATGTTGTTCGACTCGACTCGTTAAAATTTTGCTCGATTCGTGCTCCTTAAGAAACTCGTTGCTCGTTAACCTCATCAAAATTTTTACCTTATTTTATGAACTATAGGTAAAATCTACATATAGAACTTAATATAAACATTAATTAATAAATTTAACCAAAAATTTATCAAAAGAGATTATGAATCAATTTCAAAGTCTAAACTCCTAAACTCCAAAATAGCATTCCACGAATATATTAAAATGATAAAGCGGGTTTTATTTTTTGGTGTAGTAAAATATTAATTAACAATTTAGTTTTTTTTGTTTATTAGAAAATTAATAGATTAGCAATTTATCATATTTTTATTATCTATTATTAAATTAGTAATCTCGTGAATGTAATAATTTTTTAAGATAACTACTAAAATTATATATATATAAAATTAACGAATTGCTCACAAACTTATCGAGTCGAGTTGGACTTTTCTCGACTCAACTCGTTAAGGTCTCGAGTCGAGTTTTAATCGAATTGAGTTGCTAAACTCATTAAGCTCCCTTAAATCTTACATTCCGTGAACTAAACAACGTAAAATTTTAAAGTGGCATACCATCTTTTCTAACATTGTTACAAAATATATATATATATTGATATGAGAAAAATAAATACGTTCAAGTATCAATATGGAACAAGAAATATTTAGGTACTAATATGAGAAAATTGGACAAGTTCAGGCACCAATATAGATTAAAATGTTTAAGTAGTAACATAAAAGAGTTTGACAAATTCAAGGGCTAAAATGTGATTCATCATATGTTGATAATTACAGTTTGTGAGAAGAAGCAGAGAGGTGTTCTATGTCACAAGTGTGATCATTTATGGCTAACTCCCAGCAAGCGAGAAAGGACCGCTGGGTAGGTGATGAAATGCACCCATGAAAGTGACCATAAAAGAACCATCTCGATATGTCAAATTAACCACGCATTTCATTTTTAAACGTTCATCGTATCTTATTTTGTTAATGCTGATATTATTTATTTTTTATAATTCAATTTTAATAATGAACTCATACCTTAAAAGAGAACATTTTATTGAGAATGAATTTTTTTTTATAATGTAAGAAAGTATAAAATGGATAATCTATAAATAAAAATGAAGTTAAATAAGAACAGCAGGCACTAGTGGTCTAGTGGTAGAATAGTACCCTGCCACGGTACTGACTCGGGTTCGATTTTCCCGGCTGGTGCATCATCTTGAAGTTGTGATGATTGCTGCGCTTCCAATGAAGCAAGGGTTCTTCTTGATCGACTGACTCAAGACGATAAAACAGCGCCTCTGAACTTCATTCTTTTTTTACCCCCCCTCCCATCGTTTCAGACTTGGATCCTGTTCATGTTAAGATTAATGGTGAGAGTTGAACATACATTTATTACTTATGGTGTGACTGAAACCAGGTAAAAGGGGAATGATACAAACCCAGGTAATCACTTATACACGCATAACATGAATTAGAGTAATTTAATCTTGTTTTCTTGAAGCTCTTAGCGTTTCAAAGAACAGTACCTAGAGTTCTTCATCATGGCCATTCCCACACCAGGAATACGTTCAAAGCATTTTGCAGGAAAATTGCAGGCTGTAAGCGAGAAGGGTGAGTCAAGCTAAATGGCAGAAAGAAAAAACAAATAATGTGAAGTTCAGAGGCGCTGATCTGTCGTCTGGAAATCGGACGATGGTGAGGAAACCCTATCTTCACTGAAAGCGCAGAATTCATCACAACTTCAAGAGATGCATCAGCAGGGGATCGAACCCGTACATGTACCGTGACAAGGTACTATTTTACCACCAGACCACTGGTGCCTGTTGGATCAATCCAGACAACAAACTTAGATAACACTGAATTGATTTAGATAGAATAGATTGACAATTTTATATTTAGGGAATGTGATTCTTAAAAATGTAAATTACAATATCTTATATACACGAAAATACTGATTAAAATTCAAGTTTAAAAAGATTTCAATTTGATCTATTTTTTTAGATAAAATCTACATCCAATCATATTTGATCCCGTATATATAATTTTTATTCTCAATCAATAAAATAAAAAATTAATTGGAAAAATATAAAACGAGATATTATTGCAATTATTCTTAAAGATACCAAAGATAATTATACAATTATTTTATATCAACTTTTTTCATTTTAAATTCGAACTTAATCCGATCAAACCTAAACTCAAATTTAAAAATTAATCTTAAAAAAATCATATCGAAATCCGTTAGATTCAAGTCCTATATCCGTCATTCTCTCATCAACTAAATTGTCTAAAAAAGTAATTACTTTCCTCCGTACCAAACGCCGAGTGTAGAGAAACATTTTGTGTATCTATATATATGCCGAGACATAAGCAGAATTTTATGACAAGAGGACGATGTTAAACTTTTAAAATTTTAGGAGAACGAACTTAAACTTATAAAATTCCAAGGATTGAAAATATACTTTCAATAGAAAATACATAGAAAAAAAATCTAAAATCTACGATGATTTAAATTTTAAGGGGAAGTTTGCCCCACTCGTTTCCCTCGATCCATCCCTAATCTTGGCCTTGGGGATCCAAAAAGCTAGAAAGTAGAGTTTTACAATGTAAATTAAAATCAAACCAAATATGTCATTACAATTTCAATCTACAAAGTTCAATAAAACCAGCAAGTTCACTGGAAACCCTGTATTGAAACTTTAAGGGGGGAAATGAAGAAGAAGAAAAAGAAAACCCTTAATGCTCAAACCTTACATGAATTCTCGGTAACTGATCTCTATATCAAGTTTTCATCGAACACGGCAAACCAAGTTAGCCCTACGAATATGAAGAAATCCGGTCGTTAAACCGCCCCGCGGTACAAATTTCCTACGATTGTCATTTTTCACATCGTAGCATCGTCCTCCTACGCGGCAATTCCTGGAGAAAGCTGATGATCAAGAGGAGACGAGTACCACAAAGAAAGCACTCGAATTGATCGACTTATCACTGATATATGTGTTTGTTCTCATTACTGGTCTAGCACCATGCGTGAAAAATGGAGTACCAAATTAAAACTAGTGTACATTCCCAGCATCCGTTGATGAGTGTTCTATATCTTAAATATGCAGAGCCGTAGGTACGTAGGCAAGATTATCCGAGGAAAAAGGAAAGGATAATAGCAAAACAGTAGAATAGAAAAGAAATCGGCTTACCTCTATCTGACTGCATATTGGTAACACCGTAGCGTCCGATGTAACCAGCAGAGGTATTAGTCCTAACATCTGCAGTTGTGTTTCCCAGCCCAAAAGGAACTAGACCGCTCTAGTTCTAAGGGCGAAGGCAGCCAAGTGGAATCCCCATAAAGTGAATCATTGTCATCGATATCAGCATAAGCCCTGTTATAACCGCCTTTCGAAGCACCACGGGATGGTACCTGTGCAGCACCGAACCTGTTGTTTCTCTCATAGTCTATCCCTCCTGATCTAACCCCAAAGTCTCCATTTCCGTATCTGAGGTTTCCGCTGTTGTATGCAAAAGCAGCTCCTCCTTGACCAGTAGTAGGAGATGAATCCCAAAGTGGTCCAACGCTGCCGAAAGAATTCACCCCTGATTTCCCACTTCCAGAACCCATGATAGAATTCGAGTTCAGGAAGTTAGCAGCATGGCTAGGACTGCCGTTTCCCCACATATTTCGACTTGCTAAGTTAGAGATAGAACTGTTTCCTCCACCACCACCACCATACCCAACGAGGCTAGCAAACCTGTCCGGCTTTCCATTAAATGAAGTGTTCAATCCCCGGCCGTAACTGAGGTTAGAACTAAGGTTTGAGCTTCCTCCATAGCTTGGACTCAAATTTGGCTCGAAACTCAGTCCCATACCATAACCAGGGCCCAATGGAGGAAATCCACCCCGGTCAACAGTAACTGGACTAAATCTACCTTCCGTCCTAATACCATAACCTCCAACTGAATTAGCATTATAATTCTGCATGTAACCATTAAGGAAGCTATTGACTCTACTCAGACCAAAGTTATATCCGCCTAACTGGTTCTGACTTGGCCCCGGAGATGATTCTTTGGGGACAGCCCGTTTGACCTCAACCATTTTTCCATTGAGTTCATGAAATGTTCGTTGCAAGACCTTATCCACGGCTTCCTCTGAATCATATGTAATGAATCCAAAACCTCGTGGCCTCTGAGTATTGTGATCGTACATCACAACCACATCTGTAACCGTACCAAACTGCTCAAAGTACCTCTTAAAGTCACTCTCGGTGACGGTGGATGCTAACCCTCCTACAAATATCTTTTTTGTTCGAGCAGGACCAGGTGATCCATGAATGCTAGCATTGCTTTTGTTTAGAACGTTACGGTCATCCCTAGGAACTGCCTTCTTTGCCTCAACCTGAAAGAGAAAATCCAAGTTCCTCAGGTGCACAAAATCTTTGAATCTTAATGTAAAATGTTGTTTAATTTCCCCAGAATTCGTTCAAGCAACTCAGAAAAACAATGTACAATATGCTCTTCTGCTACATGTAAATCATAATTTTGAAACGCTCTTTACAAAGTCTCTTGGATGGTAAATTATTATCAATGGTGACCCTTCTCACAATCAGAAAAGTTCCCTTCTTAATGAAATTGTACCGAGAAAATTTGTGCTATTTCTCGGCAGCAATTGCTCTCTTCTCTTCTAAGAGAAGCATTGATCCTCAACCGGAAGTGGTATCCTACTTATAATTAGAACCGAAAATGAAAGCAGTTGACATCGACAATGCTCGGGACTCTATGGCCTACTTTAGGGAATACATATTACCAGAATAGCTCCTACTCAATAGCAACATGTTGCCAAGCAAACCTCACAATGAACAACAATCTATATACATGTGTGTGCGAGCAACAATATATATACATTCAACAATATGAACAACAATATATATATGCATGTATGCATATATATTCGTCAAACTACATCATGACAGGAAACTTGCCAATTCTAAATCTTAATGTTGAATGTTATAATACATGACATGAAAGAAAACCAATGAAAGAGTATCCTTTTGAATTCATCATGTTATATAAGACAGTTAAGAAAGAAGGAACTTACAGCTCTACCATCTATCATGTGCTTTTCCATAACAACTCTTTCCGCAATGGCCGGGTCGGCGAACACAACAAACCCGAACCCCCGGGCACGACCGGTAGCCCGATCCTTCATTATCACAGCTTCCACAACTTCTCCAAAAGTCTGAAAATATTCTCTAAGACGTTCCTCATTTGTGTCCCAAGAAATCCCACCAATGAACAGCTTGCCAAGTTCCATTTCCATCCTAAACACAAAATCCAACACTCTTGTTCTGAGGAAAAAAATCGAGTCTTTTTCATAGATCAGCTAAATCAAATTCATAGATCAAGGAAATTCAGGATTGAACATCATGTCTTAAAGAACAATCCAACATAAAACATGGTAATGTAGATTAAACAGAAGAAAATTATACCTTGTCTGAATACAGAAAATCAAACAAAGCTTTGGTCCTTATTTTTTATATCAATGTAAACAGAGATCGAGCGCTGTTGGATTCAATCGAAAAGCATGAAACCAATTCGATCATCATCAACCGACCAACAATCCAGGATTCCTAAAAAAGGATCGAACTTTTATGAGAAATGAGATGCAACAGCAATACCCAGAAATGAAAAACAGCAAATAATGAAGACAAAAACAAGAGGAAACAAAGAATCAACCTTTGCTGGCTATGTTTTTTTATTTAGTTTTTAACCCAGATGGGGAGAAGTATGAGAATCTAAGATCTGAGGAGAAGCATAACAAGAAGAGAGAGGGGCTTAAAGGCCCTCCGCTCTCTCTCTCTCTCTCTCCCCCCTTTTCCTTTTGTTTTTGTCGAAGCTAATGCATCAATGGGGTGGAATTATATCTATATATATATATATATATATATATACATGCGTGAATGAGTGAATCGAACATAGAGGCATAGATGTGTGAGTGAAATCGATTTGGATGAAAATAGATTATAATTTATTATATTTTATTATTAAATTTATAGAGAAAGAGAGAAGTTCGGCTATCCATGTGCCTTCTATGTAAGAAACTTACATTGGAGTTCATGACTTTCTAAATTTGTGTCTTTCGTTTGAAACTCCATTGTTTTTGCATTTAGTAACTCTTTCGTTCATTACACCAAAAGAAAGATAAAAAATAAAAATATTTTTTAATAGTATAAAATAATTATTATTAAATAATATCAATTTAATCATCGACATTGTATATATATATATATATATCTTACAAATAATTATTGAAAATCTTCTCATATGTATATGTTTGAAGTTATATATATTCAATCATTTAATACATATACATTTATAAAAATATTTTAAATTCTAAAAATAATTGATACCTAAAGAATGTAAAATTTGAAAATTTTATTATAAAATTTATTGATTTTAATTTTCTAAATTTACGTCTGAATTTTTTTAGACGTTGTTTATCTATTTCTTTACAAATATAATTTTGGTTAACTATTTTTTATGTTTTATTTATTTATTTTATAATTAAATACAGTAGAAATCAATTAGAAAGTAACTTAACGTAGAGGTAATGGATGGACACCAGATTTTGAATAGGAATTAAAAATACTTAACATACTTCCAAAGGATTGAAGGATATTTTGCCAAAAAAAATTAAAAAATAATAATTTTTAATATTTAATAATTTTATCATATTTTTCTTCATTCAATTTCACATTCAATTTTTAAAAAAAAATCTTATCGAAATATTATTCTTTTAACAATTTTAAATGAAAACCCACATGTACGTTATGTTAACATATAATTCAATGAAATTTCTTTTAAAAATATATAAAAAATTATAAAATAATAGAAAATACTTATAATTGTATTAATAAAATATATAAATATTAGATATTAACGCAATATCTGTTTACAGATAATATTCAATCTTCCGACATTAAACGTTCACACTCCTGTATGACATTTATGTTGCTTGAACCCAAATCTTCAAGAAATAATAATTTTTTCATTATAGAGGTCACTTAATTCATGCTTGCGTGCGTGCGTTTATATATATATATATATATATATATTACAAATTTTAACTTTTTTTTTCTTTTTTCTGGCTTTAGGTTTAGGGTAATCCAGTAGTTGTATTATTAGACTACTGCCAGCTCTACCATTCGCTACCCATCATCATCTACGCACATGTCCCTCTTAATCTTTCTTTTATTGATAATAATAGTTCCACTATACATTAATTAAGCAATGGGTAGACAACGGATGGATGGGGTTTTATATAAATGAAACACATGCATGCATGCATATATATATATATATATATATATATATATATATATATATATATATATATATATATATATATATAGTAACAAAGGAAAATGATCATTACATTCACGTGGAAGATGATAATTAATTAATGTAGGAAGGGGGTGTAATGTCGACCAGATCCCCGTCATATTTCCATTAATCTAGACTTACTATAAAATGCAACCCTCATCCCAAGATTCCTAATCATGTCCCAAACAAGGGAAGCTAAAATATTAAAGTTCATGTTAGTTGTGTTTATCTTATATTCTTTTACATGCGTTCCACTTACATTTTCTGGACTGGTATTTTCTTCAAATGATGTTTTTTTCACTCTTCCGGGAAAATGTAGGAGGAACAAAGCATGTTAATCCAGTCCAATATGGCCAGCCTACGTTCTGTTCGATAAATTGCTCGAGAAAGCTTTGGTTTCTTGGAATACAATGATTGCTGGATTTGTGCAGAAGGGATGAGGAAAATTCGGACTCGATCTATATTACGATATGAGAAAGAACATATGTGGAACTGGCAAGTGCAGGAACATATGTGGTATTGTCTAGTGCCTATGCCACTTTCGGTTTTTGGAAAATTTTGGCAGAACTTGGACGGAAAATGAGGGTTTCTGGGGTCATAATGGAGCCTGCAGATGAAAATCTATACCGTCCGTCCGACACGAAGCAACTCCATATGAAAATCTATTCCATCTCTGTGTGTGCAGATGAAAGAACATAAGCATCTTTTCATTTTTAAGACCATAAAATAATCAAACCCGATCTCCGAGAATGCCAACTACTTAAACCATCAAATGGTGTTATCCATGATATTCATACGGATATACTAAAGACTAATGGAAATGCACCATTGATTGTTCACCGAAACTCAAAGTTTCAAACAAATAATAATAAAATCAATAGTCCCTAGAGTCAACTACATCCAATACTTCACTGCGATACTGTTCTCTAAAGAGAAATTTGAACATCCGTTCGAGATTAGACATATTCCAACTGCTCGAAGAGTATGTCGTCCGACATGAATGTATGAACAGTTCAAATGTCGATGCTCTAAAATGCATACAGTTTAATATTGCATTCCAGCATGGTATAAGTTACTAATTTATTTCATAATATTTAGTTAATCATCTTAGCGAATCTACTAATTCCATATACAGGTATTAAACATGGCTATATGGAGAGAGAATCTATCATAAAGAGGAACTGACAGAGAAACAAAGGCTGCAAAGATAATCCAGATAAGATCAAGGACATAAATGTTTCGGCACTATATTCTTCTCAATCGCGGTCTAATTAGGGTTCTCAACTCAAAATTGAAGCAACCGTATGTCAAAATTATGTGCTTTTTGCAAGCAGGGAGAACCCTTCCCACTCAAACCCAGAAGAACAAGTTTAGCAAGCTTTAAACCAGAAAAGGAGACTCTTCTACGGATTAGGTATGGCCGAGAAAAATGGCCAGAATACCTCCAATTCATAACAAGAAGAAAGTGATAAATTATTGTAATGGAGCTGGACTTTCCATTTCTCCAAAGTCAAAACTATACCAGGATCCATCTAGTTTTGATGAACCTATTTAGAACACATCTACACACGACTTATGCATATATGCACAACTTCGATATATTTGTAACCACAACCTGTCCAAAACAAAAAGATGGATCACCCCAACCAAGAAGCTAGTACTATTCCAAAAGATTTGGATTGTGAACATCCTCTAGAATTTAGATTGTAATATCGGCACAAGACGCAAGCTGAAAGGCCTGAATCTTCAGTGCTACGAAGCGAAAGTTGTCTTTTTCAACCCCCTTGACAAAAATATAAGTTATATACTTTTACAGGATACAAGCTGATGAGAACCCAAGTACCATAAATTCCTATCTTCAGTCTAGTTCCGCCAGGATCAAAGGCATAAATTAGTCCCAAATCAGCAGATATGAAGATCTGAATTTTGCCTCTCAATAAGGCACTTGGGCTCTCATCAGAAGCTGATTCTTTTAACCAGAGAAAGACTCCAATTATCACGAAGGTGATGTAGATCAAGACTCCAATTATCACGTAGGTGATGTAGATCAATGAAAATACATTCGCCTCGATCTAAATTGTTCATGCAAGCAAAAGAAGGAAATCAAGAAAAAAAGGGGTGCATTCTCAAAATAATTCAATAACAACGAAGCAAAGATACTACTACAATTCATTGGGAACTTAGACCCATAAGTTACTTTTCAAAAGCCTCTTTGAATACAGCAGCAAGACAAAGAGACATGAGCAGAAACAATCTGATTATTGAAAATCATTTAAGTCATCCAAAATGTCTTTGATTATAACAAAAAGGAGTTACTTGTTGAATCCCCGTTTCTGGTACTGATCGACCTCACCATCATTAGGGAAAAATCCCATGAGTCGACCAGCCGAGTTCTGGTAGGCGTACATAAAGCCACCCATTAATCCTATCAGCCCTCCTGTCACCATTGATGGCCCTTTCAGTCCCGGCTTTATACCTAAAAGTCCCAAAAAGGGGTTCAAAACAAAATTCCATTTGAATCAAATCCATAGACCCAAATTACATTTGACTGATGTAAACGAGGTAATGATGTTTAAGTTACCGGAGAGGTAGCCGACGGTGACGGAAACGCCGGTGATGGTAACGAAACGGAGGTAATCGAGGGTGTTGAAATTGCCGCAGACCTTGGTGAAGGGAGGATTCCGATCTATGACCGGGTACTCTGGTTTAGCTGAAGCTGTGATGTCCGTGTTCATCTGTGGTTCTTCGCTTCTTTCGATTATGCTACGGTTGTTGCTCAACTTCGACGACTTCACTTAGATTGGGGAAACACAACAGAACACCCCGTAGCTGTTTCTGTTGTTCTTGGGCCTTAAGCTGTGTGTTTCAGATTTTGTAGGCAAAAGTTGACTTAATACGGAAAACGGGCTTTTTATTAGCCCAATACGACTCCACAGATATTATTTTGAGAATTATGATATTTGTTACAGTGATTTGAAACTTGTCCATGAACCCACATCCCTTTTCGTTCCACCCACCAGCAGTTCCGAACATCGATGTTCCAAATACTAAGTAACGAGACAGGGATGATAAAATATTCCAAATTAATGGATTTCGATTCGATTCTATTTTATAAGAGCTCATAAAGTTGTTTTAATTTGAATAGATTTAAGTTTGAGGTAAGATCGAGTCGATAAACAAGAACATCGAATTGTAATCGGATTGGAAAAAGATTATCCCGTTACATTGCCATCCGTTTTCCGGTTCCGCTACATAGCGAGGAAGCATTCAAATCCCAAACAGTGTTGGCATCTGCAGCTTTCATCTCAGCATGCCATGCCATTCCAACAACTCGAAGACAAAACATATCTCAAAAACGAGAGAGAATGTTTGGATGTCTGTTTGTCAGTCTGTCTTTGTCGTACATTGTTGTTCAATCAAAGCATTATGAGCCTCCTAAGATTGTTCCCCCCTATTCTATTCTTATTCTATTCTACCTCTTGCCTTTTACCCCACTATGAAAGGATCATCCACCATCTCTTGGTACGAGGATGGATTGAGGGGTGCTGGATGTGATCACAGGCCTTAAAATATTAAAATTCTATTATATTTTAATTTTTTTTAATATTTTTATTGATAATCTAATTTTATACTCTTAAAATCTTATAATTTCACACTCTTAAAATTTTTAGTTTAACTTCTAAATTTGTACCCATTTGATATGAATTTATGTGCCTTCCCTACTTGCATCTTCAAAGCTAGAAAAGAAGCATTGGATTGAGGGCAAGCTATGATAGTCCTGACAAGAGAGCATCCCTCAACCTACTATTGCTCTACTTGGTATCTTCAAAGCTAGAAAAGAAGCATTGGATTGAGGGCAAGCTAAGATATTCCCGACAAGAGAGCATCCCTCAACCTACATTGCTCCAAATATGCCCTTCCAAATTCCAATCCATGTGCTTACCCTCCAACATTAATCTTTTGGGCTCTTTATCTCCCCTTCACGTTGAATTTGCCTTTTCTTTGCATACCCTAAACCAAAGGGCCCCCCCCCAACATAGATTGTCCCATGCAACCTTGTCCTATTGGACGTTTGCCCCTTATAATTTCATGGAGCAACTACAAATGCATGACTTTGTAAAAGCAAGTGACCGGCATAATCAAAGATCCTATATATACACACACACACGTAAATGCCCTTCAAGGTTTCCTCAAGGCTACAAAATGGGAAGCATCGCGTTGTTGCAAGAGAGGTTTAGGCAGTTGGAGAGAAAGAAAGAGATGAGGGAAGAAAGGGAACTATTACGAAAGCTGTCGGAGTCTCCTCCGCCGCCGCCGTTGCCATCGGGTTTGCTGTTGTTCTACTTGTTGACAGCGTCACCACCTCATCAAGTACTTAATCTATCACTCTGGTCTGGCGGTTCACATCCTCATGCAGCTGCTCCGAGTTCTTGCACTTTGGGGTGCATGGAGACCCCGCTTTTTGCTCTGTTGCCGACGGTTATGGGGACAACTTCGTCGACGTCTTCGATCGTCGTCGTCGACAAATTCCGAGATTTGGACTATTGTGATGACGTTGATACATCCCTTCATCTGTAACAAATGATACACCACTTGTGATTGGTTCTTGGTGTGGTATTAGGTTATTTCATTTACAAAGGCTTTAAGGCAAGAGTCACTAGTTGTTTATTTTCTAACAAGTATTAAACGTCCATTCTTAATATTTACGAATTATATCAGTTTGATTCCAATTCTAAAAAACAACACATAATTTACATATTCTATATGTATCGAGGGTTAAATTTTTTGAAAATTTTAAAACAAGACCAAATTGATATAATCTAACCCAAAAGATCCTCTGTTTGATATGTACTTTTCGAGTTCTCACAATCCCTTTCGTCACCTTTTGCATGTATCACGGAAGATGTATGTCAGTATTTTCGGTTCTCACAATCCCATGATTTTGCATACATTGTTAGACGAAAGATTTGGCTCATGCTATCTTCTTCCGAAGGTCACCTTCCTACCTACAAATTATTTATGTTTCAAGGTACTTGAATCTTGTACAATTTTGATCGATAATGAAACCACTAAAACTATTAGAGGACTGGGTGGTCATTGAATTCAAGCCACAGACTGCAGAGAGAAGGATTTAAGGCACTGTCCCTTACCTTCTTGGAACACCAAAAGCTCCTTCTAGTATTGGCCATAGAAAAGGTCTTTAATGCAAGGGTACAGCACCATTAATGCCCCCCTCGGCTGTGGTCTCAGTGTGCGTGTACACAAGAGTTTCCCTTCCTTTTCCTCTACGTCTATTCCGTTGATGTTTTATTTTACTATCTTTTTATTTAATACATAATTTTAATACTTACATTATAGTATTGTAGTATATTAATATGATTTTTATTTATTTATTTTTGTTCTACACAGTACACATCCAGCCAAGCCTATTTAAGGAGGGGGTGGTTGTAGGCTGGCGGCCATGGTAATGAGTTCGGTCTGCCGTGTACGTGCATTGTTCATCAAGAGTTTTCTTCTTCTGGGCTGCTCTACATTTCTTCCTTCTCTGTTAGGGCGTCAGATTTCAGCAAGAAAAAGCCATGAGTTATTTGGGTGTGGAGGTTAGTTCCGGTGATGTCCCCGGATACAACGGCACTAATTTGAAGGTTATCGACAGAAGAGTGAGAATCACAGAACTGGCCTTAAGGATTTTGATATGTGGCCTCAGTGTACTTGCAGCTGTTCTTGTTGGAACAGATACTCAGATCAAGGAAATCTTCACGATTCAAAAGAAAGCTAGATTTACAGACATGAAAGCTCTCGTGTAAGACCCTTTTGCTCTCAGCTTCTAGCTTCTTCTTCGTCTTCTTCTTATCAACTTTGGTGTTGCATTTTTACTCAGGTTTTTGGTGGTGGCCAATGGCATAGCTGCAGCCTACTCATTACTACAAGCAGTGTGTTGCGTTGTGGGTATGGTGAGAGGAAGTGTCCTCTTCAATAAGCCTCTGGCTTTGGTTATTTTCTCTGGAGATCAGGTATGTTTTTTCTTTGCTAATATTCTCTTTGCATGCATATAGAGTATAGACATGGACGGATGGAGGGATGTTGATAGGAGTGTTCGTCACTGACAATTTTAAATTCTTATATAATTACATAATTTCTTTATATTTTGTATGGATAAAACATTTTTGCCACTAACATTTTACAAGTCTAACCTCAGGATTTTCTAAATTCATCATCTGACATAAAATCTTTCTCGTCCTTGTATATAGGTAAGAATAGGATATATTGACGTTGTGTACAACATCATACCATGTGTTTGTATTTACACATTATGAATGATGTCGTTGAATTTCGTTGTTATTTATCGTCTTCTTTTAATTAATTTTGAGGATGAATTAAGCAAACGAGCATAGTTAAGGAGGTAAACTGAATATTGATCTCTAAGTAGGTGGAATACATTGAAAGTGAACAACTTTCATTCAAGTGGTAGAGAAAAGGGAAGAGAAACTGAGAAAGAAGAGTCGAGGTTAGCCACAAAATTTGTTGATAGACAAGGTTTGAATGTCAATGTTAATGTATTTGGAACATTTGGCAGGGTGGTAGGTATCATGAGGGACAGGCGCAGTAACTTACGTCAAAGGATGTGAGCTTAAGAACTTATATTAAAAATTTTAAGGATATGGGTATATAAAATTTTAAGAGGCGTGAAATTAGATAATTAATAAAAAATAATAAAAGAAACTTAAAATATAGGGTAAATTAAAATTTTTAGGGGTACAACCGCACCCTATCACCCTTCTATTTATCCCTGGGTACCACAATGGCTGCTAAGCATTCATTTCAATGCATTTTTTACCTTGAAAGAGGGGATCAAAGATGGATTGAGGGAGTGTTAGGATGTGATCGCAACCCCTGAAAATTTTGAAGTCTCATATGGATTATATGATTAACATGTGATGGTTCTTTTGCAGACCCTGGCATACTTGAACGTGGCTGCAGTTGGAGCCGCCACACAATCGGCAGCGTTTGCCAAGTTGGGGCAAACGCAGCTTCAATGGATGTCGTAACCGGTTTTCGTCCGGGCACGAAATATTTATTTGACGGGGAAATTGATGTGAATAAATAATTTTGAAAATAATTTGTGAGTCGCCATCGGCCTTTTGGATCAGGTAGGTCGAATACCTAAAAATTATTTTTTTTAAAAGAGTTTTTTTAAAAAAACATCCATTAAAAAAAATGAACTGATCTGCGTTTTATAACCAAAAATTCGTTCTTTTTTTTTTAATAAAAAGGGATTCGTGGTCGGTTACGTTTAGAGAAGGATTAGCACCCCTACAACGCCCAAAAATTGGTACTTTTTAATTATAAATTGTCTCTATTATTAAAATTAAAAAATATATTTAATTTATAATCCTATTATTTCAAAATTATATAAAAAATATTTATTTATTTAAAAATATCAGAAAAGAACTTCTAGGTGCCTTAAGACAGCTCTTTTCTTTGATATTAATTTAAATAATATTGTTTAATTTTAAAATATATGAATAGGACATCCAGTTGTTTTAAGACTGTCCTGTTCTTTGATATTGAAAACTAAATATTTATTTAAAATAAATATTTATTTATTATATACTTATAACAACATTTAAATATATAAGCAAGTAAAAGAATACAATTCTAAATATATATTTAAAAGCAATAAAAAAAATACTTAAAATAAATGACTAAAATATAGTGAAATTAAAATTGACAAACCTAATTCATAATTAATCAAAATTACAGGGATTAATCAAGCTATTTTCTTATTTCATAATTTAGTGACTAAAATAAAATTATCTATAATTCGGATATTATAATAAAATAAATTAAAAATATAAACTAGGGATTAAAATATTATTTATCAAAATTAAGGGATTAAATCTGTTATTTATCCTAAATATATTATTTTAATATGAAGGACTAAAATAAATAAAATTAAAATTTCGAGATCAAATTAAAAGTATTATAAAATCGATTTAGTGACTAGAATGTAAAAATTACAAATTGGAATGGCTTCGAATGGGATTTACCCTTTGTGAAATTACAGAAATACCCTCCCCGAAACGACGTCGTTTGGGAGAGGGTATTTATAACCCAAACCGGCTGGCCCGTAGGGCCAGCTTCTCATTTCATTTTCCCTGTTCTCTCTCTAACAGAGAGAACAAATTTGTTCTCTGCCTTCTCTCTAGCTTCCCTCATCGGAGGGAAGCCGGTCACCGGACGGCAACCATCTGCCGCCGTGACTGTCACCGCCGGCCACCGCATCCGGTGGCCGGAAAAATTTATTTTTACTCTAATAGATAGATCGGACCGTCCTAAGGACGGTTCCAGTGGTATTTTCTCCTAAAAAGCTCCCAATCGGAGCGAATCTACAAAAGTACCTTCGGTGTTTCGAAGGTTCCGGTGAGATCCGGTGGTCGGGGCTTCCTCGGTAAGTTTCTCTTCTTCCTTTTTCTTTCTTTTTTGTTTCTGGTTGTGGGATGTTTGACTGAGATCGTTGGTTAGTAGTTTGTTTTTTTTTTCGTTTCTCTGTTTTTTTCTTTCTCCGGTTCTGTCTCTCTCTTTTTTCTCTGTCTCTCTGTGTTTTTTTTTTCAGGTTGGGGTGGTGGCTTTTATAGCCACCACCGGTGTGGCCATCGGACCGGTCCGAAGATGGGGTCTCGGTGAGTCACCGGACTACCAGTGGTGACTCACCCCGTAGCCATGGCGTGGACGGCTGGCGTTGGAGCTTCTGGAGCCTTCGGTTGGGACGTGGCAGTGGCGGAGGCGGCGAGATAGCAGCGGCGGCCGCGTGTCCCTAGGGTATCAGACCCTAGGGTTTCCATCTGGAGCAATCTAGGGACCGTTGGATCACTCAGATCCAACGGCTGTGATGAGGCGGCCGGCTAGATTAGGGTTAGGTAACCCTAACTGAAACCCCCAAATGTTTAGGGTTTCTGGTTTGTTCTGGACCGGTTCTGGTTTGTTTGTAACTGGGCCGATCCATTTGTAATTGGCCTGTAATTAATTATTTATATATATATTTAATATATATTTAATAATAATAATAATAATGATAATAATAATAATAATAATAATAATAATAATAATAATAATAATAATAATAATAATAATAATAATAATAATAATAATAATAATAATAATAATAATATGGATAAAAAAATTAGTATCTTCAGTTGCCCCTCTTTGCTCATTCTTGTGTTAACAAGAATAGGGCAAAGATGAAAAGATAATAATTTTTTTTTATCCATTTGACTTTACTTTGATCATAATGGAGATATTGAATAAATTCTTCTCTCTCTCCAGATGAGTTATTCTTATTATGAACTTTCTGCTGGGGATGATGATGGCCTCCTTTCTGTGATAGAGTCATTCAACAGGTTGAATAAGCTCTTGATGAGTTCTTCTCATTATGAACTTTCTCTAGAAAGGCTGATGCTAATCTATCTCATTCTGTGATAGAATTATGCAAAAAGTTGAACAAGTTCTTCTTATTATGAACTTCTTCTTTCTTCTTCAGATGAGTTCTTCTCATTATGAACTTCTCTGGAAAAGATAATCCATCAATTGATGAATTCAGGTAAAAGGTTGAACAAATTCTTCTCATTATGAACTTCTTATTCCTTCTTCAGATGAGTTCTTCTCATTATGAACTTTCTCTGGAAAAGATAATCCATCAATTGATGAATTCAGGTAAAAGGTTGAACAAATTCTTCTCATTATGAACTTCTTATTCCTTCTTCAGATGAGTTCTTCTCATTATGAACTTTCTCTGGAAAAGATAATCCATCAATTGATGAATTTAGGTAAAAGGTTGAACAAATTCTTCTCATTATGAACTTCTTCTTCCTTCTTCAGATGAGTTCTTCTCATTATGAACCTTCTCTGGCAAAGATGATCCATCAAATGATGGGTTCAGGTAAAAGGTTGAACAAATTCTTCTCATTATGAACTTCTTCTTCCTTCTTCAGATGAGTTCTTCTCATTATGAACCTTCTCTGGCAAAAACTGATCCATCAAGTGGATTCGAAATCTTTGCTAAAATCTTTGAAATTTATGTTAAAAATTCAACAAGAATAAAAATGAATGAAAATGCATCTATTTTTGCAAATACCTAAATATGATGCATGAATATTAAGTTGTTTGATTTCAGACTGGTGAATTGAGTATTTCTTCAATTGTAAAAACCCAATATATCTGTCTTCTTCAAATCAGAGAATCTATCATCTTTGACAAATGTAAATGTAGATATAATGTCACAAAACCTCTTGAGAATAAAACTCAATAGTATAAGCTCTTGAAAAGCTTGCATTCAGGCAACATGTTGATTCTGATAACAACTCATCTGATTATGAAGTGACCTTTCAAGATGATTTCACAGATATCGATAGTTCTTTTAATACCGAGAAATCTTGAATTCTGATTCTGATGAGGAGAATAAACTGTTATACTTGACAAAAATGGGATTCTCAAAGGCTGAAGCTTCAATAGACATATAGAGAAGTGGTCCAGATTCATCAATTGCAGAATTGGCAAATTTTATATGTGCTGCTCACATGACTAATGTTACTGACACATTTCTTCCGGTACAAGATGGGAAGCCATTATGCAATGATCCCAATTACAAGAAAAGGCGAAACTTGGGCTATGATTTTTTTGGGAAAAGAATAAGCAAAAGAAGCTTGAAAAGAAACTTCTTAATAAAGACGATCATGCAGTTCATCTTTTAATTCCAATGATTGGTTCTGTAGTTCTTACCAAACCAGATCAAATAACTCAAAGAATACTTCCAGAAGATGCTATTGAGTATCCTTATTTTTACTATGAGCAAATTCATCTTCCAAATTCAATGATTGGTCTTCCAAACCAGATCAGATAACTCAAAGAACACTTCCAGATGATGCTATTGGCAAATTCATCTTCTAAACTCAATGATTGTTCTGTCCAACCAGATCAGATAACTCAAAGAACACTTCCAGAAGATGCTATTGGCAAATTCATCTTCTAAATTCAATGATTGGTCTGTCCACCCAGATCAGATAACTCAAAGAACACTTCCAGAAGATGCTATTGGCAAATTCATCTTCTAAATTCAATGATTGGTCTGTCCACCCAGATCAGATAACTCAAAGAACACTTCCAGAAGATGCTATTGGCAAATTCATCTTCTAAATTCAATGATTGTTCTGTCCAACCAGATCAGATAACTCAAAGAACACTTCCAGAAGATGCTATTGGCAAATTCATCTTCTAAATTCAATGATTGTTCTGTCCAACCAGATCAGATAACTCAAAGAACACTTCCAGAAGATGCTATTGGCAAATTCATCTTCTAAATTCAATGATTGGTCTGTCCACCCAGATCAGATAACTCAAAGAACACTTCCAGAAGATGCTATTGGCAAATTCATCTTCTAAATTCAATGATTGGTCTGTCCACCCAGATCAGATAACTCAAAGAACACTTCCAAAAGATGCTATTGGCAAATTCATCTTCTAAATTCAATGATTGTTCTGTCCAACCAGATCAGATAACTCAAAGAACAATTCCAGAAGATGCTATTGAGTCTCTTTCAGTTAATGTTTGGACTAGGATATCACTATGCTTATTTGATGTAGAGCCAGAATTTGTAGATTCGAAGCATTTTCATGCTATTACATTGAAAAGGGCTATATTCATAATTCTGCCAATTAAGAACAGATTTTCTCTTATCCTGCTTCCTCCATGTGCTGATGCTTTTCCATTGACAAAGAAATGATGGCCTTCATGGGATCCAAGAACAAAGTTGAACTGTTTATAAACATGTACAGGAAGTGCCAAATTGACAGAAAGGATCTGTAAGGTTCTTGAAGCTTATGTCAATGAGCCACCTTCGAGTATCCAAAAGTATGTTCTTGATGAGTGCTGAAAATGGAATCTAGTATGGGTTGGAAGGAATAAAGTTGTTCCACTTGAACCTGATGAAGTGGAAATGCTTCTAGGTTTCCTTAAAAACCATACATGAGGAGCTGCTAGAGACATGTTTCC